ATGAATTTTCATAGAACCATATGGCGATCACCTTATTCCACGGGGTTATTTACATTCATGTTTTCCTTGAAATTATAATAACCATTTTTGTACAGTTTTGCTTTCATAAAACTTTTAAAATTGTTTATTGGCAACTTTGGATTTAGTTCTGGGATTTTATTGTAAAAGCGTATACATTGCCTTAATACGACTAAATGAATTACTGATTCTGTGGAGTCTAGTAACTAGCATTACAAACTTATGTTTGTTCCTAGTGTTGTAAGTATGAACACCCTTATTGTTATTAAAGCTATTTAGGTTTTTATTTACATACTAATTGCGCTGCCAAAGTCAATTAAATTATTTTGTTAAATTATTCTCAGAGGGACTTTTTACAATTTAAGTTATAAATCGCCGGCACGGATCTCTTTTGCAAAACAAATGTGGATTCAATATCAGTCGCATTACCCCATAGCAAACTTCCATAAGACATTACGCTATGACAGTAACTAAAATAAACTAATCTAGCTGTCTCAACATCTGTGAGGCTTCTAATCTTTCTTACAGCATATGCTGCAGTACTAAGTCTACTTGGTAATTTAGATATATGGGAGCCCCATTAAAGTTTAGCGTCAATAGTAATAACAAGAAAACAGTGGTATCCACAAGACTTGACCATTTAAGAGCACATGGTATTCGACATTTTTATATTAGGTATAGCAAATTTTATTCATTTTGTCTTATTGCCGTTTAAAAGCAAATTTTTGGCTTAAAACTAATGTACTCATCTCGTTAGAGCATTATTTACATCGTCATGATTAATTGAGTGCTGTTTGAATTTGAAAACTAAAGATCATCTACAAAAATACTATATCGTGATTGTCCCCTACAGGCTATGATAAGACATTAATTTAGATTAAGAACAGGAATGAGCCAAGAATCCAGCCCTGAGGAACGCCCATTGATACTACTGATCCGGAGGAAACTTTACAATTGATCACGACTTTTTGAATTCTGTTACTTAAATATGAAGTAAGTTTTATTTGTATTAAAAAAATTAACAATTGATCCAAATTATTATTTCATAAATTTTACTCAGAGTTGATAGTACACAAATAGGTATAAAATTAGATGGGTCCAATGTACTGGGCAATGTAGATTAAAATAATATATATCATTAAATCAGAAAACACCCCAGAATCGATACAAGTATTAAAATTAATAGCAAGATGAATATAAGATAGTGCTGCTCATAAATCCTAATGATAAGCAAATAACCAAACAGAGGGTCGTAGGTGGTTACTTTAAATTTTAGTATTATATGCTGCTGGTATAAAAATATATACAAGTATTAACTCTACTCTTATATCCTTTACTGCTATCCTCAGTTGAACGTGATAGTATAGATAGATAAATTCCTTTAAAGGATTTTCTAAAGCATTAGAGTAGCTCTTTTTATGCCTAGGAGTCCATCTAGGTACCACCCACTTATCTTTTTCTGCCACCACGGCGCACTGCTGTGTCCGGTCTGTAGGGTAAATAGAGCCTGTATAATTACACGCTGTGAAGAATTCCGTCGTTGCCTAAAAGGTGACAAAGATTTTTGAGCTTTCTTTTTGTGTAAAGTTGGTTGCAGGTGTCCAATGTCTTCATTTGTCACTTACCATCAGATGGATTGTAAGTTCCTTTGCCACTTCAATTTTATATAAAAAAAAAACATGCGAGCCAGAAATTGCTACGATCCTATTTCCCTTAACGGTTATCGTATCCACGATTTTACGTCTTTGTTATTTTTTTCGATCGTATTGATAGGTAGCAAAATCGCTTACTACCGCTCAGTGATTGCATTTTATTTTCATGGAAATCTCTTTTTTACGATTTTAACAGATTATGCGTCTTTTCTCGTATGTTCATTTTAAAAAATTGTAACAAGCTACTGTGTTATAGTTGTTTTGCTCATGCGTCACACTTTTTTTTAAGTAAAAACTTCTTTAAAAACGTTGTGATTTAAAACTCGATGAAACGAAGAAGCGACAAGATACAAATATATACATCTATAGGATTTAGCTTGCGAGAGAATGAGATAAAATACAGTGTAGACCACGAACTCAATACTCAAGGTTGTGTGTATGAACCCGCCATTCAACTACTGTATTTTCTGGCTTTTCTAAAAAAAAATATTAAATATTTTTGTTTTCAAAACTTCTCTAGAATCATTGTGATTTGAAACTCGATGAAACGAAAAAGCGACACTAAGACGCAAACATATACATCTATAGGATTAAACTTGGGAGAGGATGAAATATAATACAGTATAAATTTTCCTATTATTATGTATGGGGATATAAGGAGTTAGGACAAAAGTTGTTGATTGGAAAATATTTCATTACTTATGACGTTAAAATTGATAACTTGAGCTCTATGTAACATGTAATGTAATTAAACTTGGTAACAACATTATAATAAATAAACACTAAAAGTATCTTACTCCTGCTACTCTGCATTCGTCTCATGCTCTCGAAGTTTACTTTTCTGAAGGTTTCGCTTCTACCGCGTGTGAACTGCATACATGTTTTTAAACGACTTCAAAAAAAGGAGGAGGTTCTCAATTCGACTGTATTTTATATGTGCTACCTCGGAACCTTTTTTAGGTGAATTTATTTTGATGATTCTTTTTATATTTACAAGCTGGTGCTTTTCATATGATCTTATTATATAAATTTGATCAAGATCTGAGCAGTAGTTTGTGAGTCATCTCCAATCATGCGTATTTAATTGACTTCGACTACATAGATGATGGTATCATTTTTTAAACATTTTTACCACTTGTTTTTAAATAGAATTAGGGTGAAAAAATCGGCCAAGTGCGAGTCGACTCGCGCACCGAGGGTTCCGAACAAATCCGTAGGTATATAAATTTAAAATTAATAAAAATATTTTTATTATATTTTAGGCACCTATTTATTTATTTATTTATATATTTATTTACATGTCATTTATTTAATAATACTATTAACAGATCATTTATTTAATAAATATTATTTATTAATATACGTGCCATATATATTAACACACACTTTACACATTCATAATAATATACGGAACAACACGCATTTAACCAGTTCGCCGTGGCAATCGTATCGTCGAGCAAAAAATCTGAATCTTTTGTTCATAGCGATGACGTAGTGGTAGCGCGATGAACTCCGGCGCAGTAACCGCGATCAACGACGCGCCCGGCAGTCGGAACCTACTCTCGACGCGAAGCGCATGTCGCTCAATGCTTTACGCCTTATATCCTAACTGTTGCTACTTACGCGCTGCTTATTTTATGTTTATTGTTTTTCATATCTGCTCGGACTTTCATAATTGTATTCATCTTCATTCTTCAACGCTTCCTTCCTACTGTACTGTGAGCCTTAAACTTTGTTAGTGTCATGTGTGTTATTGAATATATCCGTTATAAACTTTGGTGAGCAACTTTATTTCTACACATCTTTCTGACCTACATAGGTGACCCCTGCACTGAACACTATGGACCGCGGTGATTATTTTGAAGATGCAAGCAGTGGAAGCAATAATAAAAATGCAAATGGACGGGTAGGTAGCGGCGAGACCCATACAACCGAAGCGGCCGACATTTCATCGGAAATTTTTAAAGTAGGCGTTAGGGTTGCTCCGTTTTGGCCCGAAGAACCTGATATATGGTTCGCGCAAGTCGAAGGACAATTTGCGATTTCTAGAATCACGAATGACTCGACGAAATTCAGTTATGTCATCGGCCAATTAGACCATCAATTTTCAAAAGAGATAAAAGATATAATTATTAACCCTTCTCTCAATGACAAATACTTAAAATTGAAGAGTGAGTTAATAAAACGGTTGAGTACCTCACATGAAAAGAAGGTAAAACAGCTTCTGATGCATGAGGAGTTAGGCGACAGAAAGCCTCCGCAGTTCCTGCGACATCTCCAGAGCCTTGCTGGACCTCAAGTTCCTGATGACTTCCTGCAAACTATTTGGACAAGCAGACTTCCAAGGAACATCCAAACAGTTTTAGCGGCTCAACCTAGCGCGTCGCTGGAGGTGCTGGCGGACTTGGCAGACCGCACTCAGGATATCGTTCCAGCGTCACCACAGGTAGCTGCAGCCGCCTCAACAGCTACGGTAACACCTGGTTCCAGCTTCGACACTCTTACCCATGAAGTCGCCGAGCTACGGAAACAACTACACAAATTGACCACACAGGTAAACTGTATAGCTCGTTCTCGAACACGTAATCCACATAGAGGGCGGTCGAAATCTCGATCGCAGTCGCGTTATAGGAAATTCCCACTATGCTGGTACCACGCGAAATTTGGTAACCACGCGAACAAATGCGTGGCACCATGTGACTACAAGACGGGAAACTGCAAGGACAGTCCTTAATGGCGACTGATGACTGTCCTAGTAAAACTGGTCGCCTGTTCGTCACGGACCGTTCGTCGAAAATACAATTTTTAATTGACACAGGCAGCGACCTTTGTGTGTATCCTCGTTCATTACTTCGAGATCGGCGGACACCCACAAATTATGAACTCTGCGCAGCAAATGGGAGTCCCATAAAAACTTATGGCTTCGCACATCTAAGTCTCGACCTTGGATTGCGTCGGAACTTTAAGTGGCGTTTTGTGGTGGCTGATGTCACCAAAGCAATAATTGGTGTCGATTTCCTATCGTTTTATAACCTTATTGTAGACTGTAGAAATCAATGCTAAATAGATAATATTACTACTTTAAGAACCAATGTACGTTTAATTTCTTGTTCAGATAATGTAACATCTGTAAAGGTTTCGACTGGCTGCACGCGGTACCATAAAATTTTGGGTGAGTTCCCTGAGATTACACGGCCAGCTGGTACACAACACACTATACTTCACAACACTGTTCACCACATTCGCACGACACCAGGTCCACCGGTGACTTCTTCACCCAGGCGTTTAGCACCAGACAAACTTAAAATTGCCAAACAAGAATTCGACTCCATGATCGCCAATGGTATAGCCCGCCCCTCCGCAAGCCCGTGGTCATCACCTCTTCACCTCACACCTAAGAAGGATAACGGGTGGCGTCCGTGTGGAGACTATAGGATGCTCAATGCCCGGACCATTCCTGACAGGTATCCAATCAGGCACATCCACGATTTTACCCATAGCATAACCGGATGCAAAGTGTTTAGTACCATTGACCTTGTAAAAGCATTTAACCAAATACCTGTCAGTGAGAGCGACATCCCTAAGACCGCTATAACAACGCCGTTCGGGTTGTATGAGTTTCCCTTTATGGACTACGGCCTCCGTAACGCAGGACAAAGTTTTCAACGCTTCGTGGACGAGATGATCAGAGGATTAGAATTCTGCTACTCTTACCTTGACGACTTCCTGATCTTCTCACAAAACGAAGCGGAGCATGAGGAACACCTTCGCCAAGTGTTTAACAGACTTAAAAGCTACGGTATACTTATCAACAATTCCAAGTGTACTTTCGGCGTAAAGGAAGTAACATTTTTAGAGTCCCGTATCTCCGAAAACGGAATCAAACCCTTGGCTGATAAGGTCTAAACTATTTTAGATTTCCCTCAACCTAAGGAGGTGCGAAAGCTAAGAAGGTTTTTGGGCATCATAAATTTTTATCGGCGTTTTTTGCCGAATGCTGCTCAAAAACAAGCCCCCCTTAACAACCTTCTGACAGGGGCTGTTAAAGGTAGGCAACCTATTAGTTTAAACGGTGAGGCAGCAAAAGCTTTTGAGGAGTGCAAGCGTAGTCTAGCGAACGCAACCTTGCTTGATCTGACGTTTCCATAGGTGCCGTACTTCAGCAGCTCAAAGACGGAGTCTGGCAACCACTTGCCTTCTTTTCGAGGAAGTTGAGCCCAAGCCAACAAAGATATTCCCCATATGATCGAGAGCTTTTAGCTATATACGAAGCTATTAAATATTTTCGTCATATGGTGGAAGCAAGGCACTTCACTATCTATACTGACCATAATCCGATCAGTTTCTCATTCCACAAAAGGAAGGACAACTGCTCGCCACGTCAGTATAGGCATTTAGATTTCATTGCCCAGTTCACCACCGATATTAGGCATATCTCCGGCAAAGACAATGTCGTTGCCGACACTTTAAGCCGCATCGAAGAACTGGAGGCACCTGTTGACCTGACTGCTATAGCTGAATTCCAAGCCTCCGACCTAGAGCTTGCTCAATTTATAAAGAGTGGATCATCATCCCTCCGCCTAGAACAGTTCAATATACCTGGAAGTCGTACCAAATTGTACTGTGATATAAGTACGCCGACTTCCAGGCCATTCGTACCCGCTCCCCTTCGCAGGCAGGTTTTCAACAGCCTGCACTGCCTGAGCCACCCAGGTGCGAACGCTACTGCTCAATTATTAGCGGAACGGTACGTCTGGCCCGACATCAGGAAAGATTGCCGAGACTGGGTAAATCTTGCCTCGCCTGTCAACGTACAAAGGTAACCCGACATGTGTCTTCTCCTTGGGGCACTTTCGCTTTGCCTCGTACTCGATTCAGGCAAATACACATCGACCTTATTGGTCCTCTCCCTCCGTCCAAGGGTTACCGATACTGCCTGACTGTTATTGACCGATTTACTAGATGGCCAGAAGTTGTGCCTTTAGTTGACATAACGGCGGAATCAGTTGCACAAGCTTTGCTGTTTCAATGGATTGCACGCTACGGTTGTCCTGAAGAAATTTTCACAGATCGCGGACGACAATTTGAGTCCGCATTGTTTCAATTTCTGTCTAGGATAACCGGATTTAAGCACAAGCGTACGACAGCATACCATCCAGCTTGCAACGGAATTATTGAGCGTTTTCACCGTCAACTAAAGGCATCGATAATGTGCCACGCCGATAGCAGCTGGACTGAATCCCTACCGTGGGTTCTACTTGGCATCCGTAGTGCGTTTAAAGCGGACTTACAGACATCGTCCGCCGAATTAGTATACGGCGAGCCCCTCAGGCTAACGGGTGAATTCTTTGAACCCAGTTCAGATGGCCCACAGGAAATCACTGAGTTCACTGCACGTTTGCGTAAAATCGCTAAAAATCTTCAGCCTGTACCAACATCACGCCATAGTACCGGCAAACATTTGTTTTTAAGGATCTTGCCACTTGCAATTATGTTTTTCTTCGCGAAGATGCTTCACGAGGTTCTTTACAACCAGCATACACCGGTCCACATAAAGTACTGTCACGTGACAACAAAGTGTTTAAACTACTGTTTAAGGGTAAAAAAGTCAGTGTATCCATAGACCGACTGAAACCGGCCTACATACTCTCTGACAATCACTCTTCACAACACTCAACTACCACTTCCTCACCAGTATATACTGACATACCACGTACTACACGTTCAGGGCGCCGAGTAAATTTTCCGGATTTTTATCGCCCATAGAATGGTCTCGGGGGGGAGTGATGTAGGCGCCTATTTATTTATTTATTTATTTACATGTCATTTATTTAATAATACTATTAACAGATCATTTATTTAATAAATATTATTTATTAATATACGTGCCATATACATTAACACACGTACACTACTTTACACATTCATAATAATATACGGAACACCACGCATTTAATCAGTTCGCCGTGGCAATCGTATCGTCGAGCAAAAAATCTGAATCTTTTGTTCATAGCGATGACGTAGTGGTAGCGCGATGAACTCCGGCGCAGTAACCGCGATCAACGACGCGCCCGGCAGTCGGAACCTACTCTCGACGCGAAGCGCAAGTCGCTCAATGCTTTACGCCTTATATCCTAACTATTGCTACTTACGCGCTGCTTATTTTATGTTTATTGTTTTTCATATCTGCTCGGACTTTCATAATTGTATTCATCTTCATTCTTCAACGCTTCCTTCCTACTGTACTGTGAGCCTTAAACTTTGTTAGTGTCATGTGTGTTAATGAATATATCCCTTATAAACTTTGGTGACCAACTTTATTTCTACACACCTTTCTGACCTACAATATGATGTTACTAAAAATTCATGCTTTTTGCAATTTTTCCTTTATCTGTGCTATAAAATGTTGCTTCGTACCAAATTTCAAGATTCTGAGTTCACGGGAAGTACCCTGTAGGTTTTGATTCCCTTGCGAATGTCGAAAATTTGCTGCATAAACGGCTGTATCTTTTGATTGCGTTGGCTTAGAAATTTGATTTTTTTACAGCTCTAAGGGACAGCAGACTTGAGTATTTGGTTTGAATTTTAGCTTGATACCTCCACGCGTTCCTGAGAAAAAGGGTCTTGACAGACAAAAGGACAACAAAGTGATCCTATAAGGGCTCCGTTTTTTCCTTTTGATGTACGGAACCCTAAAAACGATCACACAGTTCACTTCATGGTAAGTGGATGATGTGGCCCATAGATATTTACATCTATCCTCTTAAAAATCTTAAAGATGTAATGTCCCTTTTCCATTAAAAAGGTTCTATGGTACTTTACACCCACCATACGAAACACAGCAGCATTAAACTGCTAATGTACACCGGCATTCGGTGAGAGCATGGTCCTTCTATGTTCGAGCCGACTCATTCTACAATCATAATATAGCTGCAGCTAGCTGCTAGCTAGCTGACAGATTTTTTTTATAGGATAGGGTGACAAACGAGCACACAGTCCACCTGATGGTAAGTGGTTACTGTGGCCCATAGACATCTACATTTATCCTCGTTTGCGAATCAAAATGCAGATGCGTTGCTACCCGTGAGGACTAAGATAGCATGAAGCTGCTATTTGACGCTGGTATTCTGCGAGAGCGTGGTCGTCCCCCGGTCGAGTCGACCCATTCGTGCCACAACTAGTGTTTAGCTTACTGCCCGTTTCCCCCATTCGTACTACTAATATAGCTGCAGCATGGCTCTACCACGTAAAGATGTACTAGGCATTGATGTTATTATCGTATCCTTTCCAGTCCAGTAACTTGAAAACGTTTTCCAATGCAGCACTTAAGAATTTTCCTATTCTACACTTCAGTTTTACAAACACTCTTTTTTACAAGGGGGGGGGGGGGGGGTGGCTCGATGTGATTCAACAGGGTCCCTCAGAAGGAGGTATGAACCTCGGTTTGAATCTCTTTCGGAATGAGGGAAACGGGCAGTAAGCTGAAAACATCGATGACGATGTGTGTACTGTACTAGTACTATATCTGAATGTGTGTGTGTAACAGTGTTCGTAAATCGAAATCCGTCTCCTGTGGGGGGAGGAGGGAGGGGATCAAACTATTTTGGGAAGTAACCTCGTCATCGGGTTCAAGAAGAACGTTCTTAGGACGTCTCCTGGCTGGGGACGGGGCAGCATCCCTCTCTGGCCAGTAAGAAACCGCCTCTACCACCAATGGATTATAATGTTCTTTAATCGAATCGAAATATCTAAAGGATAATTCTTTAATTTAATAAAATCTAAAGGATATTTTTTTAATTACCGCAAAAGAGCAAGTGCCTACATTGCTGATTTCCGGTCTGAACAATGTAAATAATCACAATAACTAAAGGTTGTGAGGCTTTTCATCTTAGTTCTCAGAGGTGAAAAAGCATCAGTAGTCTTCCTTTTATGAAGTTCGCTGTAGGTGTCCATAGACTGCTGTGGCCACTCACCAATTTGCGGACTGTAAGTTCGTTTGTCACTTCATTTTTATAAAAAATACTTTAATACGTGTAAGTAAGTAAAGTAAGTTATTTTATTTAATATATTAATGGAGATAAAATATCATAATTAAATGTGTTAAATAAAAGGGAGGAAATTTTTTTTATAGGAGAGGGGGCAAACGAACATACGGCTCACCTGATGGTAATTGACTACCGCAGCCCATGAACAACTGCAATACCAAGGGAATTGCAGGTCCGTTGCTGCTCTTTTAAAAATAAGTACGCTCTTTTCTTGAAGGTCTCGAAGTCGTATCGGTCCGGAAAAATCACCGGTGGTGAGCTATTCTACAGAGAGGTCGTACGCGGAAGAAAACTCCTAGTGAAACGTACAGTGGTGGACCGCCAAGCATCCAGATGGTGAAGATGGTATCATGAGTTTTGCTGCGATGTGCGTTCGTGAAATTTGGCGGCTGAGATTAATCCGAACAATTCCTTACATCACTCCCCGTAGTAAATGCGAAAGAAAATGCAACATCTCTTCGCAACGCCAGTGAATCGAACCGATCAGAGAGGACACGGTCGTCGACGATTCGAGCCGCTCTGCGCAGGACGTGGTCAAGTGGAAGTAGCTGGCACCGGGGAGCCCTAGCCCAGATATGTGAACAGTATTTCATGTGAGATCGATATTGATTGATTTGCCATAGTAAGTACGTTTGGCTAGCGGATTAGCAATCGCAGTTTTATTTTTAGTCGTAATTAGGAAGACGCTGCTACCCATCACCTGATTTGTTTCCCTCTGTAGCCTATTATAACACTTACGGGATGATATGGGGTAGTGGTTATACTTATAACACCACTAAACGGTAGTAAAAATAGTGCTTATGTTATGCTTATGACAAAGGTCACGTGTAACGTCCATGTTACACTTATTCGAATAAATAT